GCCTGAAGGACATCCAGGCCCTGTTCCCCCCGGCCTACAACCCCTTCTTCGCAGGGTTTGGGAACAAGGTGAACGATGTGTGGGCGTACAGGGCGGTGGACGTCCCCATCTCACGAATCTTCACAGTCAACCACAAAGGCATCGTCAAGCAAGATGGACTGCCGGTAAGTTCACAGTCACTATCTATTGGCAGCATTCAAAGCAATACATTTTGCTATGTAGACTGCATGTTATGTTATTGCTGCTAAAAGCAGTTCTTGACAAACCAGAAGGAAAAGACTCATTGAAGTACCATAAATTTAGAAACCTCTGACTCTTGAACCTAAAACCTCTGAAGCAGGTTATGCTTTTAATTGCTCTACTTTTTTTCACAGTATCTTTCACTCTGTATAAAGCATTACCTTTCTAATAAATGGTATCCATGTATATTGGAACTTGCACTGTCAGCATGTCCATAAGAAGTTATCCAAGTGTTCAAAGTAAGTGTGTTGTATGTAATGCAGTGATGATCTGCTAAGTGTCCATGACTATTGACATCATGGGATTGTATGTCAGCCTTCAATACTTCTAAGATTTAGCATAGCATCCAAGATCCAAGATAGAGGGACTTTTTTAAAGACAAAAATCATCATTGGTGACTTTTAGTGTTGTGCTACCCCAACAGGGGACAACTTTGCTTAACAAGGGGAAATCAGGGACCACCTTTGCCCCTCCGGTAAGTCAGCTGTTTGAGCAGCACCTTGCATGAGCCGGGCTGTTGGTTGCCTTGACGATCATGCCTGTGTTCCATGCCTGGGTTGTCCGAAGAGTTGGCAAGGAGCAGTCTGAACTGCATACATGTAGCTGTGATGGACTGAGGAAGTTCAGTCTGACATGTAACAGCATGAGCACTGTTCTAATGACATCCTTGCTTCTGTACATGGTGGCCATGACTTGTCGTTGTTGACTGTTGTTCATGCATGATTATTCTGTGTTGGTTTGTTCATCCTTTGACGCACCTGAATTTTTACTCAGATTAAAAGCAGTGGATTTTGATACTGGTCGTAAACTTGCTACAGATGTAATGGAGTTTATCCACTGGTATTTCCGTGACCTTCAGCTACCTTTCTCTGGGTTTAATGATCTTTACTATTCTGTGCCACATTGTCTCATAGCAGCACGGATACAGCAAGGATTAGCTGAGTTGCAGAGTTCATGAGAAAAGTAGCTGATAGGTTACTGAAAAAAGATCTATAATAGGTTGTGCAGCTAAGCACCAAGTATTTATCAATGTATAAGTCACTTGACTGTCTTGTTTCATGGTCTTAAAAGGATAAAAGCTTTGCAAGGATAAAGACAAAGTGAATCCAGGATAATTTTGAGGAAAATGTACCAAGTCATGTCAGGCTGGCAACTTGGTTAAAAATTTTATTCAAATCATGTACAATTATAATGTACTCAAATATTGTGATTCTGTAATCTTTGGTGACAGTCGTTTCAGTGCCATGAAGACTGGTGTTTGGTTAAGTCATCCAGTGGTATCATCGCAAATTATATTGATTACTAAGTACAGCTTACATTTTGTCAGGATTTCCTTGGGAGAAAATATTGTCTGGGACTGAGGTGGAGGGTGAGTGCAAATCGTGGCAGAATGTACAGACCTGCATTCCTGTTTCCAGTGCAAGCACATGTACATGTATGTGTGATATATGTTGGTGAATATTGTGGTCTAAGCACTCCAACATTTTCATGCCTTTTAACTGCCCTTTGCAAATTTCAAGCGGTTGCTCAGTAGCTGTCTTGTTCATGTCTCATGAATTGGGCCAAACAAGGTTTACACACAAAATATTCTTTAAGTGTACAGGTCAATTCGTTACCAAGTGGTTAGTCAGAAACAACAGATTTGAGGTTGTTTCATTGTGACCTCATCTTTTCATCTTGTCTCTCCAGGCATTCCAGTCTTCATATAGCAGCTTGTCAGGCATGGTGGATCACTTCTTCCCGGCGCTGGACCGGGGTCGAACTGCGGAGTTCGAGAAACCGTCGGAGTACAGCCTCTTCACCTACTGGAGGGAACCTCTGCCTGACATCAGCGTCGACATTGACCTTGACACACCTTCTCAAGATCCCCCAGCAGAAAAACAGAAAGTGAAAGCCACAGAGAAGAGCAAATAGATATTTGAAGAAACACTTTTGTACATTTGATAATGATGCAGAAAGCTACCTGCCACTAGATTTTTTTTTGCTAAGAGAGAAGTGTAACACTTCTCTGTTGAAGTCTAAGTGAAATTTTTCAAGGAAGGTGCTGCTGTGAATGATTTACCATTATGCTGGCCAAAGGTGTTATGAGTTCCAGCTTTGCCATCCTTCATAGCATTGAAGGGATCGTTTGATTTGGGCTGGTTCACAGAAGTGGTAAATTGCTAATGTTGCTGCTGCAAGTACCATGTGTATGTTTCTGACTGGAAAAGAGATGAACAGTGCTCTGAAAGAAATAGTACACATGATGTGTTCAAAGTCCAGTTCAATGATATTTCAGTTAGCTGCTATTAACATGTAGCCTAGGTAGCATCTTTTCTAGCTAAAGTGGTCTACATAACTGTTAGCAAGTGGTCTACAGTAACATAACCATTGGAAAATTAGTCAGTGTGCTGAGGTAATGACCAACAGACCAGGCTAAAGCTGGAAAAGATGGTATGTAGGCTGCACATCCTTTGCAATGTGGCCTGTGCATTACTGCAGAATTACTGCCAGCTGCTACTGCTTTGTGCAACATTTGGAAAAGCTGCCAAGCTGTCAAGCATTAAATTGTTGTTAAGAGTGTGGCAATCTTCTTTTCTTGCCTAATATGTTGTATATTCCATAGCTACACATGCCTACACAATAGTAGTGCACATACATGACATTGTACAAAATGTGTGTATCACATGATGTTGTGCAGTTCACCTATTGCCAAACCCCATCTGTATATCTAAAACCACTCCCCAAGACAATACGAGTGGTTGCAATTTAGAATTGCTTTACACATAAGTGTACATAAGATTATATACACTGTACATGTAAATTCAGACTGTAAGACTTAGTGTTCGATACACTATTTGACAGGAATCATATCAGATATTGGCTGTACAGGTGACCTGAGGTTGGATGACATTGAAGTGTATGTGAAAAATTGAAATCCCTCAGTACTGATGGATAGTTTACATGAATTTTTTGGTAATGATTGTTTCACATAATGTCGTCAATGAGGGGTGAAGTCAATGTGTCACAATTATGTCATCAGTGTGATCATTACTTGGCTTCATGTGAGCTGGAAAGCATAGGGTAGGTATGTGTAGGCATGTTTCCAATGCATTTCCTACATTTGTACTATACATTGAACACATTTATACAAGATGAATGGAAACTGTGCTTGGCAACAATACATGATTTTGTCTGAGTGATTTCGTGCTTTGTATTGCTCATATTGTGACAAGTCAGAGGTATTGTGTACATAGAAATAAGTGTCAGCTTGCACTGCATCAGCTGTGAGATGCATGTTTAAAGTTTATGATTATCCATGCCATACATAGATATTGAAAATGAGATTTTTTGTTGCCTTAGTGTTAACGTTGTAAATAGATGACTACTATGATTACATTACGGGTTAAGAGTGTAATTAACCAGCTTATTTCTTGCGGATAATTCAAGTTTCAGAACATGGAGTACAGAACTGGTGTCTCAAAGTATTCAGTGGAAGGACTTAATGAACAGGGTTTCTCACTGGATGTACAAAAATGATGGTCAATGGAGAAAGTGTGGACATTTTCTACCTGGTTTCCTACTTCTGTGTAAAAACAAATTTTCTACAGATCTGTTGAAGTGACACTTGATGAATGTTAACCTCCAAGATCTGCAAGATCTCGCTTCATTTAAAGTGATATTCCAGCATTTTGTACGTCTTTGTAGGGATCTGTGTTTTTCTCTCCATTGGGGAAAGAAGCAGGACCTCTAGAAAGACATACGTATGTCTGAAGAACGCATGTAAGACAAGTCAGTAAAATCTGCTTGGAGAATGTGGAAATGAGTCGTCAATTATCAGTGGAACATTTGAATTCCTGCAGGTTGTGTTAGGAAATGTAGATGTCCAAAATCATGACCATTTGTACTGGCTTTGATACTTGATCTGGTATTGAAGACAAGGTGTGAGCTACAGAACATTTTGAGAATTATACACAGATTTTTGAGAAGAGATGTGTAATGTCAATATTTTTCTGTCGATAGTTGTAATGTAGTTGTAATGTGATGAGAGGACAGGGGACATGTTCAGATCTGTACTACTTTAGTATCCTTTTGTTGATTCATTAACACTGTCCTTGGTTAGACCCAGGAAAGCATTACATGCTACATGTATGTCCAGGTTTCTGGTTGCAAATGTTTCTATACCTACATGTACGAATGGCCTGGTTCCAATTATGTAGCACAATCTTTGTTGGGTTATTACTGGTAAGTTACAACACTGACACTGAATGCAGAGAATACTATCTTGCATCAAATCAAAGCATATGATTAGCAGCTACAGGCCATAATTTACCAACACTACCTGTTACAACAGCAACAGCAGTACTTTGTTTTACATTGTAGTTTTCTTACAATAAACCCTGGCACATACATGTATTTAAACATTTTGTAAGACTTTTTCACCCCTTTTTCATACCTCATCCATAAATGGAAGAACGAATTTAGCCTTAGACTTTGTTTTTTTGACCATGATCAAGAGTTGTAATACAAAAATGTTGTGATTTCGTATCATTTGATATTATCAATGTTTAGAAATATCAACCCAAGACTATTAAAGTTAGAGGTGAAGCTTAGAATATAGACAGGTCAGTGTACCATGTAGCTATAACATTAGTATTATAGTTTTAATTGTTGGCCAGTTAAGTAGAATGATTTTTAAATGTTCCATGTGTCATCTATCTGGCTATGTTTCATTCATATTTATTAATGATATCACGATAGGCCATGTACTTGTATGTGACATCATCAGTGAACTGCATCAGTTTTGATTTTGTTTCAGTGCCGTCCTGAAATGAAGAATTTATGTTCTGTATTTATTAATCTTTGATTGAAGGATATTAAAGATTATTTACGTTTAATTTTATCTGTCTCTATTGAAAAATGACTTGTTTTTTCACCAGTCATAGCAGCATATCATGGCTCAGTGAGGCCATGCTGATGTTTCGCACATGGAGCTGAAAAGTTTGGCAGTCTGTTCATATGGTCATTTCTTATAAAACAAGATTTTTTCATAACATTAGGTATATAACGTTAGCAATAATTCCTGATGCATGCTATAATGTTATTAAATATATTTACACTTTGTATGGGTTATATAGATCAAGGATCTTAAATAGGAGAATATTAATGTTAACCATGCACACAGACATGCACATAGACACACACATATTGACATATAGTTACCCAGATCCAGATCTAGACAGACACACATCATAGATATTAAACATTCACACACATACTGACATTCACCAAGGAGAGTCTGTTTTAAACCTCCTTGCACACATTGTGCACACACATGTAGTCCAGTTGGTACAATGGTAACACTTGTCTCCTGCCAGCCCATCCATGAGGCTCCATCCATAGATCCCTATCCATCTAATCATGTCAAAGGTGAAAGGTTCAGGGGTCAACATGCCGGTGTTCCGGGAGATATGGGGGCGCCGGGAAATTTCCCGGCGCCCCCATATCTCCCGGAACACCGGCGGTCAGACAGAGGACCAGTGAGCAGAGGACGGAATCAGGTACGGCAGCAAGGAAAGGGGATTTTGGGATGATTGATGACACTAAAGCCCAGTAGCTCGTCAGCAACACAAACTTATTAAGTTGTCTTGTGATTGATTGTGTTGAGCTATATTATAAAGTGGATGCATAGGCGGTAGGCCACCGAGTTTCTTGATTATCGGTGTTGCTCCAGGACCCCATACTTTGCCAAATTATATCATGTAACGTTATATGATTTACGACTACTAAATATACCGTTACGTATGTAACGTTGTTAACGTTAATAACTGTTTCTCATTGATAATGCAAATAAGCATGACGGAACATTTGCAAAACATTGATTTGTATTTTCAAATTAATAATGCAAATTAGATACTGATTTACATAGTTGTCATCAAATTATGTCAAGCATCACTTAAGTTACCTACAGACCAAAAATATGCACGATCTGTTAACCCCTTGTTGAGCCACCCTCTTTCCCTCCAGTTCCTGAACAAGCTGCTAGGGGGCCTAGTCTACGACTTTAGTGGGGGGGCTGGACGTTGGGTCGTAAAGCAATTTAATCAGGCTACTAGGGGGCCCAAATGTACATCTCTTATAATGTCACCAAACAATTTGCTGGTGTCTCTCCCAGTATGCAGGGTGAGAGTGAACCCCCTGAGAGAACTGCATTGCTTGAAGCTGTCAGACGTGGTGACCCAGCCGTGGTGCAGGAGTGTCTACAGCAGGTGTTGCTGCAGCAGGTTGTACAGGAGAGAACTGGTCGTACACCTCTGCACCTGGCTGCAGCTGCAGGCAATGCTGATGTCCTCAGGCTACTGGTGGATGCTGGTATGTTTGTAAACATATCACAAGACAATGATACTGATACACTGTGGTATGCCTATTATATAATCTTGTCAAAACGTGCCCTCCACGGCACCATGGTGGTCTTTATACAGAGGTGGTTACTAGTACAGGATTTGCTATACTGCTATACTGTTTCACAGAAAGCTGCCCAGTTGACCCCCAGGACAGAGAAGGTGACACGCCCTTGCTGACAGCAGCATTTAAAGGTCACGAGGAGTGTGTGAAGGTTCTGCTGGACTCCGGGGCTGATCCAAATGTTTTCAACAGGAATGAAACCACACCGCTGTGGAGAGGTATGTAATGTATATTGAAATGTTTGTAGTGCTGTGATATAATGGGAGGAATCCTCACTCCAACAACTGTTTCTGCTGTTTTACCATTTAAGATTGTACATGGGTGTATTCCTATGTCTACTCAAATTTTCAGCACAATCTTGAAGGGTCCTTTATACACACCTGCTGCTTTGTTGTTTCAGTAGTCATCCTGCTAGGTGGTGCTACACTGAGAAGGATGCAGTCCCAAACATGATTCCTCATGACATGTGACTATAGAGCATATTTTCATATTTTTTGAGGTAATTGTTAGTGTACCTAGTGATTTACCAACTTGATGGAACTATTCACAAACTTTTCAGCTGTCCAAAAGGGCCACTGGACCACCTCCCAGTTGCTGGTTGACTCTGGTGCCAGAATAAGCCATGCCTACATGAACGGCTGGGTCATGGTGGCTCACAGACTTATCACTGTGGGACAGCAGGAGATGTTGTCAGCGTTCTTCCCTCATGTGGACACAGCCCTGACTGGGGATGAACACGGGCTGCTCACAGCTGTGCAGTGTGGCAGGCAGCAGGAGACAGAGGCTCTCCTAGGACAAGGTGTGTACATGAAGTGACATGCAATGGCTGAGTGGTTAGGTTAGCTGATATGAGCTCAAGAGGTTTATTCTTAGCATTCCTGGCTAGATGGGATGTTGATCAAGCTAAAGTATGCAATAAGGTAAAGAAAACATGCTGCTGTTGTATAATGTGCTGTAGATCTAAGTATGATCTCTTTTTTTCTGTTGCAGGTGTTGATGTGAACTGGGAGGCATCTGATGGCTGCACACCCCTGCACCTGGCAGCTCAGTACAACCAGGTGAAATGTTTGCAGGTGCTGCTGCAGGGCGGGGCGGATGCCAACAGGACGACAGCTGGGGGACAGCTGCCACTGCACCTGGCTGCTGAGGCAGGCCATGACAGGTCTGGATGGATACATGTAATTATCGAAGGCATTGTGTGGGGTTCTGGCCAGCATGTTTGGTCCTAAATCAAAATATGAACCAGGCCAAGACAGATCTGTAGCATATGTAGTCCAGTGGGTAGTGACCCTGCTTCTAGACCAAGAGGTAGTGAGTTCAAAGCCTGCCTGTTGTCACTCACCCCATTGATACATACCACTGAAAAGGATTGCTGAGGACATTAAGCTGTGGTTCCCCAGTGAATTTAACCTGTATACATAACACTACTTGTATAATCACCAAATCTTTAAAAGCTGGTACATGAATTGTGTGTCTTCACTCTTTCAGGTGTGTTGAGCTCCTCTGTCCTGTCACCTGTAAAAATGCCGTGAACAAGTGCCCAGAAAGCCCTTTCCACTCTGCCATGGCTGGCCACCACGCTGGCTGTATAAAGTTACTGGCCACAGCAGGATTCAGTCCAAACACCCTCCCAGTGGATGGGAAAGGGAAAACAGGGAACTCTGCTCTACATGGAGCTGTTGTCAGGAAGGACAGGGACTGTATAGAAGAGTTGCTCAAGTCTGGGGCAGACCCCAATTTGGACCACCCCAGTGTACTGTGTGAAGCAATCAAGCAGAGAGACCTGGAACTGATGAGACTGCTCATTCAGCACGGTGCTGATGTGAATTATTCGTATACCCCCCACAAATCAGTGGTGCAGTCCACTCTGCTCTTCATATTGCAGCAGCCTAATCAGGTCAGTTTTACCAATACTGGTACTTTGAATTCTGTCCCTCTCTCTCTCTCTCTCCTTTGCCACATATTAATGGCACTGAGGTAGTTTTCCTCCACACTCTCCTGTATGTTGCTGGCCTAACTTGAGACGCATGTGTGCAAGTGAAAATTGTTCAAATATTTGGTCCATCAGCATGAGTTTGCCATTTAAGTTTCCCCCGTCCCGTGCACAGGTGCGAGGTTTGGCCGATCCCCAGTCCTCGCGCTGGAGCAGACAGGACATGCTCAAACTGCTGCTGGACACGGGGCTGGAGCCTGACTGCTGCTTCACCTGCGACTGTGACGAGTCAACAACCATCATACCTCAACACAAACCAGGTGGGACAGCCGCATCTCTATACATGTGCTTCATGGGATTTATGCTGGTCAGACATATGGTCTCAGTACTAGTATCTTTAATCTCATTCTCTGTCACTTATGAAAGACAGTATATGCTATCTAGAATGCCTGTCTCTTCAGATTCATTTGGTATGAATCAAGAGATGATCTCTTTTCTTTCTTGACCTGCAGGTAAGAGGCGGATGTACTTCTGCGAGCATGCGCGAGTGTTGCGTGTGAAGATAGCGCCGGTGGTGCGTCTCCTGCTGGAGTACAGCAGGGAGGTGACCCTGTGCACACGCCTGACACTGGTGCTGGAGGACATGTGTGAGTGGGACAGGATCATCACCATGATAGGTGACTACTACGTTTCAACTTTTTCAATTTTATTAACCTTTACCAAGAGGATTGGGAAAGAGAGCAAAAGTGCTCGTAAAAGCCTCTCCTCAAGAAGAGGGTTTGATTCCAGACTCAGGCTGTGTGTGAAGGGTTTCATTTGTCATTTCAGATGGTGACATTAAGCTGATGGCTCTGTGTATGAGGGACCTTCAGTAACATACTAGTTGAGAAGAGTAGGGTTGACCCACTGTGCTTGGCTAAATACCAATAGAAGTCGTAGCAAAGCTGCGTTGCACTGCTAGGTAACAAAAAGGTCAATACTTTGTCCCAAGTCAGCTGCTTCACCTCTTATTCAATGTTTGTTCCTCCCCAGGGAGGATGCGGTCGTTACCCCATCTGTGTCGGCTGTCGGTGAGGAGAGCGGTGGGGTCCCGCCGCCTGGCGCGGGAAGACTGGGCTGACAGCTTACCTGTCCCACAGAAGGTCCAGGACTTCATACAGTTCAGGACCAGGATCCGGGGGATCGGCCTGAGCCGGGCAGAGCAGCCCATGTGATGGGGTCAACATGCCAACTGGATTATTGCCAAAGATAAAGGGCTGTTGCATGCAATACTTCATAACTTATGTTGTCATATGTTTATACTTGTGTAGACCTATGCAATTTTTTTATTATTAGGAAGCCACCACAGTAATATGTTTTATTGTTGGCGATGAAAGCCATGATATTTTGAACTTGGTGCATGTAAATTCATAGTTCTATAATAGTTTTGTAAGATATTTATATGCTGTGTATGCAATATATTATATATTATACATAAAACAGTATACATGTGCTTTTACTATAATTTTGTGTGTAAGTAGTCTGTATCAAAAGAAAACATGAAGCAATTTTAATACAGTAAATGCAATATTTATTTACAACACTTTTTACAAAAGCTAAATGTATGTTATTTAAAACAAAAAAGTATTTGACGTTAACACTAACTGAACAATATTCTCATAGATGTTGTAATGCCACAAAATAATACATATGTGATATACAATTCAGTATCAGTCTGTTGGCATTTCTAGTGTACCTCTTTTCTAGTGTACCTACTTCTCTAGAGTCCCATTTTTCAGGGTGACATATTCATTTGACCTTAGGCTAGCAAAATGATGTTAGTAGACATCATATCCCAAGAATGTTGAAGTAGTGGAATTTCTTTAGTACCACAGAAGTGGTGAGTGTAGGTAGAATCAGACGATGGCATACTGTTCATACAGCAGCTTGCGAACTTTGTAGTAATCCTCACATATGCAGCCCTCCATTCCGATTCTCCCAGATTCATTCTGCAGGAGAAAGACAAATCACTTAGTGATACACCTAATATGGCTGTGTGAATGGAAATCACAAAACAGTACATATGGTCAATATACGATGCCAACTGACACATGGAGCAGCAATAGTGTATGTGACACAAATGGCAAAGAAAACAAGCTGTGGAGGTAAAATCTGTCTGGTGCAGGTAAATTTCAGAGATACCAGTACATACAGTCCAACCTTACAAGTGACCACCTCTACATAAGGACCACCTGGTCAATGTTACCTCTTTTATCCCTTAGATGATTTTGACCCATAAATACAAGCATTAAGAATTCTGTTTATAGTGACCACCTCTTCACATAGACCAGAATTTATTGGTCCTGAGGTGACTGTATGTAGAAAAAAATGTCCTCACCCTCTTGAGAGCCACCACGTTATTACAGATGAGCACCCCTCCCGAGAACTCGGCCTGGATGCCCTCCTTCTGCAGCACCTGTTTGATGTCCGACAGCCGAGGTTTGTTGATGAACACGGCATCGTGGCCTGGGATCTAAAAAATCATGCACATTTGGATTGGAAATTTCACAAATACTGTACTGTTGTATAATACCGGTACATATATCAATGTTCGTAACTTTCACCAGTAGTCTAAATAAGAACAAAATTACTTTTCACAAATGTGAATGAAATGAAAAGTAATGGATGAAAGTAATGAGGGATATGAATAATTTTGTTGTTCACTATGTAGTGAGAAGATGTCCATACCTGACTGACTGGTAAGGCCTCCAGGGTAGGGACTGTCTCTCTTGACTCCTCTGCAGCTGCCTTAGCAGACTTGCCTGCAGTCAACAGAACATTCATTTTTACCCATGGTAAGCACGTAGCCAGTATAATGAACCTGTAAATACGATGTACTGTACATAGCATGTGTCTTCTCTGTGACGACCAGTGAAAGAATAGCTTTTCAATGAGTTAAAACTGGATTGGGATCACTTTTACTTTCTCTACGTACCCTTCTTCTTCTGCTCCTCCTCCTCCTCCATCTCCTGGACCTCCCCCTCCTCCAGCAGGGCAGAGGTGTCCGTGGCCGGAGTGGTCAGGTCCAGCTGGCCGTCCACCCAGGCCAGCTCTGTGTCCCGAGCCTTGAAGAACTGCAGGGAGCTGACCAGGGAGTCCTTCAGCTTCACCTGGTCAGTCAGAACAACAACAAAAGTAGTAAACACCACAAAACACTAACTTCCAAAATTGACTACAGCAATCTTTTTTCAGGGCTTGGCACATCCTAAACATAACAGTTCCAGATTATTTTTCATTAAGCTGGTGCATTCTGCCATAGGGCATAATACTATACAGATACAGAAGAAACAGAGATCCCACCTGGTAGATGTGACTCTCCATGGTGGCATCAACAGTCTCATTCAGTTTGGGTGTGAAGACCTTCCCCTGGACCATCCCAGCTGTGGAACGACACACTTCCGCAAGCAGCAGGGTGGACTCACTGTTTCCATGGACTATAACCTAAGCACAAGAGGAAGAACACATCACTCAACTGTAGATACAGTGCCGGTACATTGATGTTTTGGTATTGAATAAAATGACCCAAATTTAGTAAAATACATGTAGATCTACCGGTAGGGTGAATTAAAAAAGATCTGACAACATTGACTATTAAAAATACATCTTTAACAGTTTCATTACTTCTTCTATATTTCACTGATAAGGCATTCATACCAACTGTCTTGGCTTCAGCTGTGACAAGATTTTCTTCATGGACTCGCCGTCTGATCTGCCCTCAAAGTCAATGTACACCACACGAGACCTGGGGGAAAAACAAAGGAGAAAACTGTTGAAAGCATTTCATGACTCAGATTTCTATGATAGTCATTCAACTGTTGAAAAGTCAGAAAGGGTAAAAAGTGTCCACTTTTGATCTGAATAATTTGTGAGTGTTTCAGTACTGATAAACGACATATAAGTAACTCAACACAAATTTTAGTCTACAATTAGAGCAAATCTACCTATCGGTACAATTTTTTCAAAATATCTGAACTGTCAAAAATAAAGTCCCTTACTTGATGTCCAGTGTCAGCTCCTGTACAATACTTTTCGTTGGGACATCTGTTAGTTCTGAAATAGGGAGGATCAGTCCATGGTTATATGTCATAGATTAGCTCATAAATCAAACAAAGTACAGTGTTTCAACGTTTGCAAAAAATTCATGTACGTGAGAAAGGCCCACCTTCTGCAAATTCTTCTTGAGCAGCTGCTTCTCCTTCCTACAGAAAATAGCACATCATGACATATTGAATCACATAATGGAGACTCTTGAAATGAGCACAAACCCAGAACACATTTAAGAGAAATCAAGGCATAAAGAGTTTGATCACTGAAAGATTAAACTGTTCTATACAGATCTTAGTGCATGCTAATATTTTTTCTGTATTGACTGGAAGGAATTGTACATCATAATAAAGAGCTCAAAATATCACCTGCATAAGCAGGCTAGTGCAGGTAAGCTAAAGAACTACTTTGTAGAAACAGTAACCTTACAGCTTTGGTGTAAGAAAAAGTTCCACTTACTGCTTTGGCTTTCTCCTCTTCAGCCTGTGTCATTTCAACAACCATGTAGTCCTCTGGCCTGGAAGAAAATACATACAGTGCAATAAAAAAGATTGAAAAATAACTTGGCACCACAAAACTATACGGTAGGTTGTGAAGTGTTTCTTTTTTGTGACAACAAATAATTAACTAAACATACTTGATGATCTCCCCGTAGTCATCCCACTTGATCCTCTCCTCAGGTGCAGGGAACATGGGGTAGGCTTTCTTGGCCTGTTTGAAGAAGCCTCCCTTCCTGCTGCCCTCCGCCTTCATCATCAGGTCATGTTTGGCCACGCCCTTGGCCCCGCCCGGGAAGCTGGACCCTTCCACCTCCATCTCATCCTCACTCTCACTGGTGTCTGACTCATCACTGACAACACAGGGGACAGGAAAGTCATCTCAAACTACTGTAAGTTCACTAGGATCTATAACACTGAAAAAAAAACAGGAAATTATTTAGCAATAAACACAAACTTACCCTTTTGCCTTGGATTCCCTTCTCTTTTTCTCTTCCTTTTCTTTCTTCTCTTCTTGCAGGTATTCTTCAAGTTCTGTTCCCTCAAGCCGAACTCTTTTTCTTGCCTTAAATAGCAGAGTTCAAAATATATTATGAAGACATTATCACATAGCAAACATTACAAGAAGCAGAGACAAACTTCCCTTGTTTTATTTCATTCTACTTTATTTCCTAAAAGTTTGACCATTGAAAGTTACTCATAGCACATTGATTACGCATCTACCAGTACTACAAGTGTCACATAGACACCTTGTGAGGCTAAGACCTGAGGGTAAGACTAAACTGCTGACCTGTAAGGTAAATGTCTTCATCTTAGGATTGTCTATCAGCATCCTCCCCAGCGTGCCTGGGCTGGGCCGTGACGTCAGGACCACTGTGTTCTTCTGGTTCTGACACCACTGCACAAACAACTCCCGGGAGAACCCTGACTCCAGATCAGGTACAGAGGCAAGGACAACCTAAACACAAGAAGAACACAAACATTTGTGTGATGCACAGTGTTGACGGGCTGTGCCTCATGGAATTAATGAAGGTGAAAGAACCAAGAAATATTTCATTCATGTGGATGGGTGCCACTTTCTGATCTTTCTGTTCTGACTGATTTTACCACTGTCACATGATGATGAAGATGCCCTATTGTACTTGGCTGAGACACCAAGGCTTAAAACTCAAGTTTATAGAAGTAAGACGAGTGTTGCTGACCTTGGGATCAGGGACCTTGTGCAGTTCACTGAGACTGTGACACAGCTTCAGGTGTTTGAACTGGAAAGGGTTGTTCCTGTTGTCTTCAAACACCCGCATGATCTTGTCACTCATCCACTCCACCTACATGGAAAAACCAGTCAAAACATCCATAGTTTTCTTTTAGAACCAGCATTCAGGGCTCTGGTCTAAATGGTGTCTAATTTCAGTCATAGCAAACAGTTATATCAACATATATATATTTTTTTCACATTATTCCAACTAATCACTCACCTGTGACTTTGCAAATTCTACCACATTGTAGGCTACATTGTTCAGCAGGCACAGGTTGTAGGCCTGTAGTCCTGTCTCTGCATTCTGCCAGTATTGCTCCTGAGGAACAAGAAGAATAAGAATGATAAAATGTATTGCTCTAGTTAAAAGGCAGTGACAATCTTCACCTTTTGTACAGTCTACTTGGTACAATGAATGTCATTGTTAATGTAGAGGAACAGGACTATAGTGTATAAAGTTCTGACTCACCAGTAGTTGTGACAGTTCCAGCACCCTCCCAGCTGTATCGATGGACACTAACACATTCCCGTCATCTCGGACAGTGTTGAAAATCTCCGCTGCAAACAAAAACACAGAAAATAACAAAAACCCTGAGTTTATCTAAAGCAATCTGTGCACTGTACCCTACCAGAATATGCACTATCGGTGGTTCCATTAAATTTGACTTGTACATGTATGAACTGTGAGATCAATAATCTGCTACCATCACCAACTTTAGTCACCAGCTCTACATCATACTCCTCGAAGTCTACATAACAGCAACTACATTCAGGTTGGGTTGCAGCAAGGACTTACTGAGGAGCTGTTCATCCCTGAGTTTCCTTCTGAGCTGAACATAGTTGGCGTTGTAGGCATCTGTGATGAGGAGACACGGTCTGTTGATCCCGTCCAACACACAGCCATTCAGATGTCTACAGAAAACACAGCATAAGACAGGAACACTGTTATTAAATATGGGAGCTTGCTGCGCTGGTCACATCATAACAAACCTTTTCTATATGCCTGATGCTGAGAGAAGAGTAGAATTTGAAACAAAGTTAGTCAAAGAGGACCTGGCTAAAAGTATGAATGACACAATGTAGATAACCGTTACATGTACTACTTTGTTAGTTTGCTATGGATATGTCACCTTTCTTTCTTGTGGTTATAGTCTACAGCATACACCACATCCTCCTCCCCTTCCTTCACTATTCTCCAGACAGTTCCACCAATCATGTGGCCAGCTGGTAGAGGGGTGATGGTCAGACCATGACCCTTTCCTGTCAACATAGCATGGGAAAAACATCATTTTATTGGACATTATATCATTTATTATAGGTATCACAATACTGTTGATCCTTTTACTATAGATGAGTTGCTCACCTTTCATAGGAACATTCTGTGAATATTTCAGCTGCACGATCTTGTCAAAAGCTGCGTCCACGTCATCCAGAGTGAAGATGGTGAAGTCCTCTGTGTTCTGTCGAGACTGCAAATGAGAAAACAGAACAGCACATTGATGAAAACCACTTGAGTTCCTGTAATTTGAAATAGATTTTAAAATTGCCCTGGTGGTAACAAGTGTGTTCTGACCTGGTAGATGTCATACATGAACATCTGCCCCATCTTGTAGACAGGGATGGTTGTGTAGATGGGACAGTTTAACCCCACACTTCCCCACCATGTACGGCAGGGCACCCAGGTGTAGGGGGTCGGGATGGGAGATTAACACTGCATCAATCTGGTGGGCATACCTGGGGAATAACAGAGACAACCCACATTAACACAATACACCATCACTTACCCAAACAATAGAAGTGTAACATTACAGTGTTAAGTGAGCTACTAAATCTTAAGCTCAGAAGCGTTACCAAAGATCTTGCATCGACATGCTAATAAAACCTTAATTTGTCTGAAGTCTCACTTCTTCAAGTTGTCCACATAGCTCATGGTGAACTTCTCGTCCCAGCCACAGTCCAGCAGGAAACGGAACTCATCGAACTGCAGCAGGTAACAGAGGGGGGTCTCATCGTGGACACCACACAGGGGGGTCAACTTCAGGATGGATGTCATACTGGAGTCCTGAGGGAGGGGGTATTACGAAGAGTTACGCCTTATATTATGCTACAAAATTATGTACATGTATCAACAGATGCAGGTCACTAGACTTTGTTATGAGTATAAAATCTGACAAAAGATAATGTCATGTGACACAGTCAAGGGATATCGTATGGTGTCATTACATTTTGTTTTTACATAACAGTGGAGGGGGGATATTTAATATGTATGTAATGTATGTAAGTCCCTAGCTGTGGCGACTCTTGATTCGGGCTTACATTGCATTACCCTCAGCAAGAGTCGTGGAAAGATCCATTGGCAGAACTGCACATTTCCCGTTGGCTGCTCGATGCTCCGTTTGGTTGACCCGTTTTTTTTTGCTGTCCCGAGCTTCCCTACAATATAACTCCACAATTGCCGGGTTGCCGATGTTCAGATCGGCCCAAATATTACCACAAGCGCGACCAAAAACTACCTAACCTCACTTATTTACAAACCGCACAGCCATCTTGAATATAGTCGGGAATGTCCGGTGCAGTCGTCGGGAACGCTCGGAAGCGTCACGATTACCGAAGCGCGACCGAAAACTCTCCGATCATAACCGGAAAGCCTGCCGAGCGTTCCCGACGACTGCACCGGACATTCCTGACTATATTCAAGATGGCCGCGCGGAGCGTAAATAAGTGAGGTTAGGTAGTTTTTGGTCGCGCTGTGGAATATTTGGGCTGATCTGAACATCGGCAACCCGGCCAATTGTGGAGTTATATTGTAGGGAAGCTCAGGACAGCAAAAAACCAGGTCAAAAACGGAGCATCGAGCAGCCAACGGGAAATGTGCAGTTCTGCCAATGGATCTTTCCACGACTCTTGCTGAGGGTAATTATGTAACTTGTAAGCCCGAATCAAGAGTCGCCACGGCTAGTAAGTCCCATAACCGTGAGCGGTCGTAGGGGCATATTTAATAACAGATCATCAAAATTTTACACAGTCTCTTTGACACACCGAGGTGGTTCTACTTAAACCTCTTTGCTTCAACCTTTATAGCCGTGACCAAGTCGAGCCTGCTCCTACAGCAAAATTTAACGTTATAATTTCGTCACGGCTACCTTCAACCTCTGCACGAAGAGTGGAGAACAGAAACAAGAAACACTCATAATTTTACTAGTAGAGTAAAAAGGAGTGGCAGCCAAAGAGTGAGACCTGCGTGGTTTTCAAACCACGTTGACAAGTAACAAGACCGTGACTTCTATGGGCTTGCCTTCTGTCACGTTTCAGTGTTGCGTGGTTTGCCTAGATGACCGCCCAGATCGCCTCCGCGGGAAAAAGGTGGGGAGGGGGGGGGCAAGTTTACACCGACTAGAGGATGAAAAGGTCTAAAATGTCTACCTCTAGACACTTTAGATCTATTCAGGAGTAACTTACCTTACTTCGGAAGGTCTTACGATAGAATAAGTTCTTGGGATAAGTAAACGAGGGGCGTTTTTGTTCAACACACCAAAAATATCAACAGCAAGTCGCCATTTTTTCTTTTCATCAAACTGTCTCAAGGGGATTCTGGGTAGCAACGACACCTTGCGAGTGCTGTTGGGAGATCAGCCCCCTAGTTGTTTGATATCAACAAGGAGCTTATCTTGGTATTATCAAATGTTAACATTACCGGTTTTCTAAAGAAAACGTTACATTATTTCGATAAGATTTCAGTGAGGCAGTATACTAGTATGTAGGAAATCTGCCCAATGTTTTGTTGTCTATAGAAAAAAAACACACATCACAAAAAGATCTGTTTTGCCTTATATTACAATCTAATCATAAGATATACAGTGCCAATTCATAATTTTTACAGACAATGTATCAAGCCCTTG